AAAAGTTATTTACAGAAAGATGTCTATGGGTATCTCAGTATTGTTGAAAGGTAATCGTTGTTGATCAAACAAACCAACCAAGTCTGTGTTTTAAGCTGTATTTGGACAAAACATTTAAGCATCAACTTCTCCATAATGTATGACTGTTGCCTGGACAAAAACATACAAATACAGCTCTTCTTCCTTAGTATGTCTCCTGACTGGGTTTATAAGCCTACTACCAAATTTTACAGTCTACCTTAAAAGGTTGAAATGGCCTTACACAGATATATACATGTTTTTATGACCCGGTATGTAGCCTTCCACTGAGCTTTTAAAGTACAGATCTTGCACTGCAGATAACATCGGACCAACAAGTCACAGGTCAAATTAGTTTGAAAAGATTTTTACTGTTGGAGCCCCTGTTTTATAACACTTCCTATCTTCTAGACTTAAATGTATATCTCTCTGAAAACTTTCAACATCAGGTAAACCTTTGATATGGCTCCATTAATGTTATGGTTCTTTCCTTGAGGACTTCTGTTTGAGTTTCTTTTTCAGTTTTTAGTTCCACTTTGATTTATGTTATTCTGTGTTTTTATGTTCATTGGTTTCTTTTCCATTTGGTTTTATATTAATGCAGTTTTGTATTTCTTGAGTTACTCTCTGATGCCCCCTTGTGCCTGTTTCCCTTCCCCTAGTTCCCTTCTAGTTGGTTATTTTCACACCTGCTCCATATCAGCTCATTAGCCCATCCTTTGTTCTGTTCCCTATATACACCACCTCAGCAGTTCCCCGTGGCCAGTTTGTAGTTGATTTGTTGCTTCATTGTTTCTTTTCTCCTCGTGTGTGATTTCTCTGACATTTCCTGGATCTTTTGTTTTTCAGTATTTTTCTTTGTGGACTTTGCTTCTCTTGCCTTTTGGATTTCGATGAAATCAGCAAACTCATCTCTGCCTCCTTATCTCTGCATTTGGGCCCTCTAAGAAACCTCCACACAATCATGACAATCTGTTTGCCTTACCCACTTTATCCTTTTCAGGGTTATGAGGTACTGATGCTTATCTTCAGTTGCCGATGGAACAGTGGGCCCTGGACCAGTAACCAGGCCATCAGATTGAAATACAAAAATATAAAACACCATTGACTGTGTGTGTGTTCAGTCAAATCTAGATTAACATAGAATCTCCTGTAAACTTTACAATTCTGTTTTTGATCTTAGTGACAAAAGGAAAGTAAGAAAAGGATGGATCTATCCATCCATCCATCCATCCATCCATCCATCCATCCATCCATCCATCCATCCATCCATCCATCCATCCATCCATCCATCCATCCATCCATCCATCCATCCATCCATCCATCCATCCATCCATCCATCCTTAGCTGGCGAGCTCAAGTCCCCCAGTCTAGAAGTAATGTATGCCTTTAGTCTGTTCCCATTGGGATATGTCAACAAAAGTCCCGGGAGCATCTTTCAACTTACTTATTTTATTTGAATGGACAGCAGCTACTCCTATCTTTCCACAGTTGACCAAGGCACTTTTTGCTACCCCTACAGATGAAACTGGTCCCTCTATAAAGGAAACCCATTTCAGCCACTTGTGTCAAATATCTAAATCTTTGGAAAATGGAAACAAAGGATAATGTTCGAACATAGACTGAGCTGCATTGTGCCTGAAGAAATCTCTGGATCAACAACTACAGTAAAAGAAAGTAAAATAAATAAGTTAAAAATCTGCTAAACTATCACCAAGAGTAACACAATTCAAACAAATGTTCATCAATCTTGTGAGTCTATTTGGATTTTTGAAATTTTCTAAGTTGGATTACATGTCAACTCTAATCATTCCTACAAATACCTTTTTTAGTTAAATAATAAAACAAGTAACAGGAAAAACAGACATATGCCTAATCCATTCAGTTGCGTCTTTTCCAGACAAAAAAAAACATGGAGCTAGTTTACCATCACTTTTTCTTGCATATAGATTATGTATGCTTCAGTGCTTTCCTTTTTAGTTTGTGCATTTGCTTCTGTCTTCTTGAACCCCCAGTCAGCCTCAGCAGAAGGCCACACATACAGTAAGCCTGGTTCTACTTGAGGTTTATTCTTGTTAAAAGGGAGTTTTTCCCTCTCCACTATCACTGCATGCATTCTTGGTGTGAGTCATTGCTGCAGTTATTGACACATTGCAAGCAAGCAAATGTGTACTTCCACTACATACATATTCAGGAGGAGAGAATCCAGCAAAGTGAATAGCTCTATACAGTCTTAGATAGATAACATTTACCCATTCTGACTGTTTGATTTGTTTGAATCATTACTGTAAAGTCCTTGAAGATCCCGTTTGTTTTTAGGTGCCAAAATGTAAATAAACTGAGTTGAGAACCAAACTAAGGAATCTACTTGGTAATAATGAGACAACGTACAGTACTGTGCAGCAGACTGGAATGTATAAGTATTTCACAAACAGCTATGATCTAAGCTGTGCTTGTGTGGAAAAACTATCCCCTTGTTGTCAGAGATAAGAGGGAAATATCCAGACTGAGGTGGTAGAAATTAAACACTTCAAATAACTGTTTATTACAACCAAGGTATTAAAAATACTTTCTTTCAAACAAGCTGGGATTTAGCACCAGATAGCACCAGATAGATTAGCTAGATTTTGATTTGGCTGACCCAAATTGGACAATATCATCATTTCAGTTGAGAAATTTGCATTGTGTGTTAAAATTAGAAGGTAACAACATTTAACCATTGATCTATCCTGCTGTATAACATTTTCAGTAGCTGAATTTAGTATCATAATGGTGTTAGGAATATTTTTCCAGAGGCCTCCACAGTCACCTGATCTCTTGCAATACAGTTCCTTTGAAGAAGCATTGAAATATTGGGAGGTACTAGGCAGAAGGGGTTGTGACACAGTACTAGATGGATGTCCCTAATTTAATTATCCCTAATGTAGCCTTATGGAATAAAATGCTGATGCACAAATAATAAGAAATCGAAAATTAAAAATCACATAAATCCATAAAGTTATGAAAAAAATGCATCTATATTTCAATAGTAAAGACATTTTTTTATGTAAAAAAATTCAAAGAAAACATTATAGACCAATTTTTCTGTTTTTGTTTTTTCAGCATGTTATTGTCATTACACTCTCTCAAGTAGAGTGCAACGAAATTATCTCTGCATTTTACCTGTCCCTTTGGGGAGCAGTGGGTTGCCATTGCACAGCGCCTGGGAAGCAGTGTAGGGTTAAGGGTATTACTCAGGAAGCCAGGCGGCAGTCTATGGGAGTGGTGCTTGAACTCAGAACCTCAGGATTCAAAGCTCTATACCCTAAACACCAGGCCACCACTTTCCAAAGCAGACATTAGCATGAAGGGTCTTGCCTAAGGACACACGCTGGCAGCTCATTCCCTCGAGCTGGGATAGGAACCCAGGCCTCCTGTTCGCAGGATGGGGGACTTACCACTTGAGCTAGCCAGACCCAAATGTATGACTGCATGTCTTATATAACTGGATCCTGAAAAATTCTGTGCATTTATATTACATTTTGGAAGACCAACAAGGGTCAGTTAATTTCCTACAGTAAATATCAGTATTATTATTTCTGTCATTTGTATTTCATTTTTTGTCCAGAAACCTATGATTGGTACAGGAGCCAATATGGCCTAGTCATTCCTGCATGATAGAGGCAAAATGAATGTCCATCAAAAGAAAGGACACTCTAAGTTCATTTTTAAAAAAGACCCATTTGAGTTGACATATCCTACTGAGAGTAAGTGCTTCAAGTGGAAACTGACCCTGAAGTTTCCATCTAATATACAGCACAGGTCTTATTCCCCCTAAGAAGATCACCATTTTTATTGTTATCTCGACAGGATCTTTGTTGCTATAACCAAAGGAGCCCAAGAACTGTAGAGTAAAATAAAGCCTGCCTTTTCACACTCTTGTCAAAACATCACAGTCAGCATGAAATCATACTCCATGTACCCCAACTTACAAGGTCACAGTCTCCCTTTTTGTGGCGCTGATCCAAGAAATTCCCAAATCAACCAAATATTTGGAAAATATTTCCTCCCTGAAATTTCACAGCCTTATATAATTTACAAAGTATTTAAGCTAAGGAAGCATTGAAGTTCTCTCTCAGATTCATTTCAGCGATGCAGACTTCAAATAGGTCAATGGTACATTTCTCTCTGCATTTAACAGAATTGTGTCAATAACGGCAACAGATGGAAAAATAACCAGCGCTGTATTTTTATGGAAAGCACAGAGAGGTTTTAGACCATGTGATTACGGTTCAGAGTGGAGTGAACTCAAAAACGGCATATCCAGAACTCTTTGCTGCACAACTCTAAAAATAATCACAATATGTTTAAAGTTGAAAGGATTTGATTATGTTTACTACGTGTGGCATCTCCGTCAGTTTATAGCACTAATTAAATGCTTTTTCTTTGAACAAATCCATAAATATTCTTTTCAGCTTTCTATATAAAGTGTCTGTGGCTTTCTTCTTCAAACTGTACATAGATGTGACACAGTTTTAGTATTGGATCTGGTCTCTGACCACAAATTTGGCTGAGTTTTAAAGCTCTAACAAACTCTGTTGTAGAAAAGCTGTGACTTTTATTTAGCTGAATATGCACATTTGCAATGAGCTATAATACATTTCTGTAGATCTTATAGTAGTGAAATAATCCCTCTAAGAATTCCTAAGAAGTTCCTGAGTTGTGATACAGAGTCGGGTAATAATGTGTCTTATATATACTTTCATGCATGTGAGATGCTGGGAAATAAACATTCTCATTTAGGATGCTTGCATTTGGAAACTGAAAATTAAAAGCTGCAACAGCATCCTCTGATAAGTATTTTTAAAATTAAACATCTTTGCATTTAAGTCAAAGTTAGTGCACCACAAAATTGTCAAAAAAAAGTGATTAATATCTTTTCCTTAAATACACAAAGTACAAACGAAGAAAAAATAAAAGGTATACAAACAACTTTTACTCACCTAAATGCTGGCTGCAAATCCAGAGCAGGAGGAAGCAGTAGTACTCCATATGTTTACTGCTGCAGGCGTGGATGTGATGGCGTGTTTGAGTAGCTTAATAACTGCTGTGAGGGTGTGCAGAAAGCCAGTGGCAGACACAGTTAAGATCTCTGTCTGATTGACTCAAGTCAAAGCCCAACCTATATGAAAAGAAGTAGGAGGGGATTGTTGGAGGAGGAGGTGGTCCAGTCTTCCACAGCAGGAGGAGTATTCCGTCTTTAAACATGCTTCCAGCTCAGCTTAACTCACTGAATATAAGTAAATGACTTATTCTTAGCATTTGACATGTTTGGTGTTTGACTTAGAGAAAAGAAATCCATATTTACACGAAGTACAGTAAACACAATCCAAAACGCAATCAAACATTACTGAAGCAAAACTACAAACTACTTTGATGGTTCAATAAAGACACAGGCATGTGCAAGCTATTAGACAGTACGGTGGTCACCAGAGTGGTAAATCTAAAAAGAATACAGTGGATCAGTAGCACCACACTTCTCTTTCCCATTACAAACCAATCTGGTTTGAGACTGAAAGCTAAACACCAGCATATAATCATCGTGGCTCTGAACCACAAACTTACCCGTGTGTAAGAGCAGAACAAAAGTGTGGGATTTATACATTATCTCATAGAGTTGCTGCTGAACCATCCGTCTCTAGTCTCTTTACAGTTGTTGCAGCTTCTGTTAGGATGATCCAATAAGAAAAACTGAAGTTTATATCATGATACACTATGAGAAAATACTTATTAAATCCTTTTTGAGCTGAAAAACTAAAATATTTTTTACATTGTGTAAAAGCATTGAATATGGGATCAATAACTACAGTCAGATCAGATCTGAATATTTGTAGTATTTAACAATATTAAGGGAGTTGTTGGTACCTTAACCTCTTACACCCTAAGGGGGTATAAATAAATTTCTGCCTGACAAAAACACACAAAAGTAAATAACTTATAGCCTCAAAGCTATTAGATTTAAGAAGAAACTTTTGGTACGTCTGTAAAGGTAAGATGTCATAGAATGGTTTTCTGGTGTCAGCACCATTGTAGCTTTGACCCTGCCTGAAATATTAGGGACAAAATACAAAATATTTTGCATTTTTTGAACCTCGCCAAAATTTTCTTTGAAATAAACATTACAAAACACTACCAAAATATTATTTATAGCACAAAAAAGTAGCACAGACTTTCAAATCTAAATGTTGTGTAAAAATATACCAAATTTGGACTCAATCAGATGAATCATATTTATTTTAGAATGGTATTAGTGAGAAATTTCTTAGGCAGAGAGGCCATTTTGGCACATTTATCCATAAATGTCACCAAACTGTGCCAAATATGTTTTTTACATCAATACTGGGGGTTTGGTAAAATTACGAGGTAGCAGCTGGACCCGCCGGTGGGTCCGTAGGGTTCAAGGGGCTAATGTAGATAGGTTATAGGTAGGTTGGTAGGTACTAGGTTAGTTCGACAGGTAAAAGTTATTTTAACGTCTCTGTTAATATAGTCAGGAAAACAAACTTAGTGAGTTGGCTTTTGAGTTTGAGGGTAAGCGTTCATTTAATTACACATTTTAACATACAAAGTTCTTTGAAGAAGATGTTGAGCAAGGATATACATTGTACTTTCTGAACATTGACTATAAAGCTTCTGATTTACTTATAAAAATTCTAATTTACCACAACTCATAGTTAAGTTACCCGCAGTCAGTGACTGGAACTGCAAGGGGTGTTGTAGTTAATAGAGAGCAGAGCATTTAGTATTTGAAGTGACAAAAAAGGTTGGAATTTAAACTCAGTGTGTTACTGTACCTGAGACAAAAAGGGGTAAAGACAACAGAAATACCCCACTAAGGGACAATAAACTCTACATTTAAGTATGTTTCTGAGGCAGCTTTAGAATTTATAGTTCATTTCATTACATTTTCCAAGTCACCAATAAGTATTTTTCCATTCAAGCTGGGAAAATTCACTATTTTAAGTCACAGTAACATAGAATACAAAGTTTGGTTAAATTATAATCAAAATTTAAATTATTCCCAGATTCAAAATCTTGCAAAAGTTTGCTGCTTTAAAATTTAGAGTTTTGGCGACTTTTCTTTTTTTGTGTGTGTATTTAAATTGAATATACACTCATTTAAAAATGTTGAAATTCAAAACTGGACAGTAGGTGGTTACTCCCACTAAATCACCTTTTTACCTAAATCTTTTTTTAGTTGATTTATCTTTTTATTTTAACTGCAAATGATATATAAAGAAAATGGTTTATCACCATCTAACTTTGTATAACACATAAACCTGGCAATTTGACAGGGGTTTGTAAACAAGTTGTAGTATCTGTCTGAAGTAAATGAGTTAATCTTACACAATATTGTCTTTTTATATTTTTGTTTTTTATAAGGTAAAGGAACTAGCCTCTTGTTGCATGATATTTACTGAAATTTTTAACAGAAAATGCATTAGATTATTAGATCTTGGTTTTTGTTTTTTCACTAAAATACATAATTGTTTACCCCGGTGCTTGTGCATTATAACATATTTCTTTACATGTTGTATTTCCATTGGTAACTTCACATTTAGATGCCTAGTCTGTTAATAAGATAATCCACTGATCGAGGGGACAAGCTTGGTTTACTTTGGTTACCTCCATAAAAAAACAAAAAAAAACAAAGGCTTTGTCTGATTGTAGGTGCATTCTTGACACACAGAGGTTTGGGGCTTAGGTGTTGAAGACTGAACCACCAGCAAGCAGTGGGGTTTCTGAAATACGACCTCCAGCCCCAATTCTAATGCACCTTAACATTAACATATATCTACATACAAGCGCATACACATTTTCTTCAGGGGATAACTTCACCAAGGGTTGGGTAGGGGGTTTAATACCATGTGTGTCTCTTCCTGTGTCTGAAGCCTGTGGGCTGGAGCTCCTGTGCTTCCCTGCCAACCTGCTGCGGTATCATCGCTACTCTGTGGGGCAGCCTAGGGTCTGTCTGCCTGCGGCTCTCATGGCCCGATACTGGCCAGAGCTGCTCTTGTGCATTCAGTGCTGCAGGCTTAAAAGGCTTTTCACCACTGTGACTTTTTTACAATTCAAGGTAACAAACTATCTCAGACAGATACTCAACACACACAAACACATAACAGTGATGATAAATGATCGATTTATAGACCACGAAAAAGGCTATTGTAAAAGTAAGTAATAAAGATCTATTTTGGTAGAACTGGTAGCTGATGTCAATCGTAACATGTAAAAGCCTTTTAAAATGCTATCAAAACACCTAATTTAGCTGATTTATTTCTGATGTCTGTCCAATGACCACACTCAAGTTCTGAAAGATGCTTCTGCTAAAGTTGCAATAACAGCCCAGTTTCTTTTTCATCACAAAGCAACCACAGATCTCCCAAATCAACTCAGCGTGTGTGTTGAACTGTAACAATGAGCCATTGTTAATTGTATATTGGCCATAGTAGCAGCTAAACACAGGATCTGGTTTCTACATTGGTTTATATTTGTTTGGGTTTTGGTTCTTTGGTTGGCCACATCTTGTCTTTATTTTTGTAAAAAGGTAAATTGATTTCACTTTAAAATATATATATATTTTTTGTTTATTTATAAAAGGGACATTAAATATTTAAAATATTTCGAAATACTCACCTCTGCTGTTTCACTCTCCAAGCAGGTGTGTACAGGACTGTACCATTAGATAATTGAGGAGGGGGGAGGTTGATCTGATGTATGGTATTTTCTTTATTGAGTTTGAGTATTTGTTTGGATTGAATTAATATATTTGTTTCTGTATTTATTGGTAAAAGTATTTCTTAAGTAGTTATTTGTTTAAACCAAAATCTCCTTTTCTTCTTATTGTGAAGCTGAACAGTCTTTTTAAAAATGGTTTCTTCCAATTTAGTTCCTCCTCTATTTAAGAAACATGTCTGCCATTGTTCTTGGGTTGGTGTGGTTTTGTTGATGTCCTGCACAAGAAGAAATTAAAATTTTGTCTGCTGAAAACTCTACAAAGCATGTTCTTCTGTCAACCAGTTTGGGTCCCACCTCCAAGACTGCTTGGCCTCCTGACAAGCATGTGACAAGTGGTGTCAGAAGCTACGGTTTGAAACTACATGCTAAATTATGCCGCGAGGTGGAAAGAAGGTGGAGCACCAAGAGGGACCAGATGTTGGTGGACCAGTTCCCTCTGATGAGCAGCAGGGAGCACCAGCAGCAGAAGACAGCAATCCTGATAAATTGGAGGAATTAACCAGTCTGGTAAAGTCTCTAATCCAATCCCAGGCTTCCAGAGATGAACAACTGGAAAAGGAGTCCACACGGCAAGAAAAAATGATGAAGTCACTGAAACATCAGTTCCAGCAGATTCAAGCTCAGGTGAGACAACTGAGAGATGATGTTGACAAAAGTACTGGGCCACAAGTAACTGCTGATGATGATGAAACTGAAGACACTGAAGATGATGATTCTGATGTTGCTGATTATGAAGTATCTGCACGTGATCGACAGAAAGACCCACCCATTCAAAGAGTGTTAAGGTTACCCAAACAGCCTAAGATCCTGCCATTATCACCAGAAGATGACATTGAACATTATTTGATGACTTTTGAAAGAATAGCTACAGTCTGCGGTTGGCCAAGAGATGAATGGGCAGTTCAGCTTGTTCCCCTGCTCACTGGTAGAGCAAGAAGTGCATATGTTCTAATGGACTTTGATGACTCAGCCAATTATGAGAAGGTCAAAGAGGTGATTTTGGCAAAGTATGAAATCACACGTGACACATACAGGAAACGGTTTCGTGCACTGGACATCAATCCTGGTGAAACCCCACGTGAACTGTATGTCAGACTAAAAGACCTTTTTAATAAATGGGTGAGGCCTGATACTTCTACAGTGAAAGACATCTCAGAACTTCTGATTCTGGAACAGTTCCTGAGAATGATGAACCCAGAGATGGAGATTTGGATACGTGAAAGGGACCCCAAGTCTGCTGAAGAAGCTGCTCAACTTGCAGAGGTGTTCCTATCTGCCAGGACCGGGAGCCACAGTTCAGCCTTCTACAGTGACAGCCGTTTCACTGGAAGCAGTAAGTCCTATGGGGGTGATGGGGGTGGACAAAT